TTGATAAGTTGGCTGCATGGTCCAGCAAGGGGCTTCTAGCTTTTAATGTATATTATTACCGACAAAGACAAGGGAGACTGGAATGGCCATTTCTGGCTTATTAGCCGTCGTCAGTAATTCATACCCAACCCCGACAGGTCAACGGCCTCGTGGACCAACGGTTAGAGGCGTGGACTTCTAAACTAACAGGTCGTGATTTCGAGCCTCGGGTGTTCCACACTTCGGGGTTGGGTATGACTGGCTGACGACGGTTAATAAACCCGAAATGGTCATTCCAGTCTCCCTTGTCTTTGTCGGTAATAACATACTCCTATATCATGCGCCGCTGTGCGGCTGCTGGTTGGGCTCGAGAGAGAGCCCGTAAGGCACAACGGAACGAGTGAGTTCCGTATGAACGACCGGTGAGCGCCCCCTACCATTGATTAAATTGTGTTTTTGGTGATGAGCCGTTGGGGTCTCGCATAGTGAGGCCACGTTACGATGAGGTCGCAGGGTAAAATCCTCGGTCGGCCAGCCTATCACCTCGCATACACAAACAGTACTTATCACGCGGACGGAGTTACTCTCTAAGTTACCAGTCTTCCTAGCCGCGATTTTTAATGCGTCGTGATAAATACAATCGCGACAGTTTCACTATTATTGAGGAATGGGTCGATTTGCTATGTAACGGATTTACCCCTGAAGACCTCACTCTCTCCTTCAAACCTGTTGGCCACCTGGTGGTGAAATTGAGCTTGACAGAGTTGGACAGCCCGTCTATGCCTGGCACAAAACCGACTTCAGCGTCGTTCTTATGGTCGGCGCAGGTTCGTATACCATAACATGCAAATCTCACGTAGGCGGTCCTTAAATTTCAGTGTAAGGTTTTCACGAGCCCGGTGGAATGGGCCCTTTTACAGTCAGTGGGTAACTTGCTGAGGCATCACCTACATAAGATGCTAGTCAGTTTAAAAGGAAAAACCTTCTAGAAACACTAGTGTTGCCAGTGTCTCCTTGTGATGCCGTCGACATTTTAAACCTGCAGTCTGAGGGCATGGAACTAGAAATATTTCAGGTCCTCGGTACTGTCCAAATTTAGCCACTCGAGGACCCTAGAAGAAAATTATCTGCGAAGACTGGGGGCAGTCAGCCGCAAGCACCTCGTAAGGCTTCCTTGCGGCTGTATGTTGGGTCGCTTTGCAATCGCGCCTCACCTCGGCGGAGTAACGGCTAAGATAACCAAGATTCGCGTCAGCACAGCCGCCACCACCACAATAAGAACTAAGCCGGTATGTCAGCCGTGCCACAGCTGGATTCGTAATTCAACACTGGGCTAAGCTGCTCCCCCAACAAGAGTTTGTTTGGGAAAATAAGAACTGATGTAGGAAATTTCATCCCGGAAGTGTCATTACGCGACTCAAATCTCGGGACTCTGGAACACTTTCATTGAGACCAAACTTCCAGGTGGAATGTCATGCTACTTCACGAAAACGATTGCCATTTTCTTTATTCACTCATACTCGGACTGCATGTAACCGGCAAGTCGTACCTTCGCCCACAGTTGGAAACCGGTTCAATAAAAACGCATAGTTATAAACACCCCCTACTTAATTATAAACAATAGACCATATATATGCATTTTATTCAATCAGCGTCGGTTTTCGGGAGGGAAAACGTTGTACAGATAAATTCACGCGGACAGGCAGTCAACTTAACTAATGAAATACCCGTCTCTGGTTTTAAAAAGGAAAGTAGAACTTCAAAGTCCAAAAGCGTCAATGTCGACATTTCTGGATCAGAGAAATAAGTGCCAATTGTGACTTACTGAACACGGACGTGACTTTCTGCTCAACGGCTGGGCTTCTGCAGCTAAGGCTCGAACAATTAGTCTTCTGAGCTAGACCCACTATGAAACAAGCCGCAGACGACAGGAATAGGCTAGTGGAGAAGAGTGGGTGGGTGCTCGGTTAGCGATTCACAGAGGAAGACGATTTACGACGGCCAAATAGCAGATCGCTAGTGGTTGCTGATGATAACAAGGACCTCTTACTATTCTTCTGCGAAGGTGGAACAAGCTGTTTCTGTCAGTTATGAAGACGCGGACCCAAGATATCCCGAGGAAAAGTATAAGTCGTTTTATGGTGAGTCTGTCTTGGGTAGACGCTGTGTAGCACCCAATAAAGACCTATTATGGGCCCGGCTATGATTGACTGCGGGAGATATAGCAATGCATTTCATCGGCTGCATGGTTATATCTACGCACGCACGCTTTGTCCATCAGAAATGAATGGAAAAGAGGACGGTTTTATAACCGCCCTCCGGACTGAAGGACCGAGATCTCTCTCCGTACGACGCGATTCTGCCCTCCAGAGCCGTACGAACCGGTCACGGATTCCAAAAAGCCAGGGTGCTACGGCATGTAATTGGCTCACAAAGCAATATCATAGACCCTTGAATGGATCACAGAGGAGAAAGCATTGCAAAAAATAAGTCATCACTGGGAGAGGTCTCTCAGTTGACTGAACCCCTAAAATTCGGGCCTATTCTCCATTCCAAAGGCTCACTTAATGGAATAGCAGTTAGTCGGCATTGCAATACAGATAAACACCGAAAATAGTACCGGACGATTAAACAAACAGCTTCTAGTTAAACTAATGCATCCTCCCTACTTAGTTCATCTACATGAGCATGTCAATTTAGGCAACATTTGTGACCAAGCTTACGAAAGTGACTACACCTAATGTTAACGCTGGGTTAGGGCCTAGGGCCAGGTTTAAGATTTTATGTCACATACCGTCTTACCAGACCCGGCCTTCTTTAACCGCTGACCCTGGATTACCCATTTTCGTCCGTCTACGCTCTTCTAATCCGCACCTCTTCAATTGCGCTCTATATTCCGGCACCTGGTTGGAGTAAGTAAACATACATATGCGGAGGTGCGCATCCCTCCACTGTCTTCTGCGTATTCCGTTCATTTTCGCGTCCATCTGCCCTACTGATAGTCTTATACCGGCATCCTTCCCGTATAACAAGAGTCTGTACATGATTTTCTCACCTAATAATGATTCAGCCCCTTCATCGCGGTGCTCTGGCTTCCTGCTTTGATGTTGGTCAAATTATTACCATTCAACTTCCGATGCGTAGTAAAAGTAAGCAGACCTCCCTCTGGATGATTATTAAAGCCATCACGTCCGATGGCCAGTCGGTGTGCAGACGACGATTTAATCCAAAACTCATAAAACGTGCACCAATATCTTTCGGTTGGCTATGTAAGTAAGAAGGATTTTGTCTACAAGATTCAACGCGATGCCCACGATGCAGTTTATCGTGGCCAAGGTGGGAAATTCACCTTCCACGCATTCATGAATATCAACTGGCAGTAAAGATGCAAGACCTCCTGGTCCATGTGGCTATGCATATCCTAGATACAAAGCACAAACACTTGCATTGTCGACGCCTGCCCTTCGAAAAAAATCCGAGATCCCCTCGAGGCCATGCACTCAGATGAGCCACACACCAACCGACGAACGGACTTGGATGCGGTGTAAAACAACCTCAGGGAGAAATGGGAAACAAGAGCCACTCACCACAGGATGATGCATACGGCGGCCGCTTACCGACGCAAACGCAAAACAGGTACTGATTATATTCGGCGAGTATAAATGTTAAATGCTCTTGTGCTGCGTTTGTACTATGCCTGACGTCGACCTAAGGAACCGCTTTCAAAAATTCACCGAATAAGGCTTTGCTCTTTTCTCGAAGAACATATTTGACTCGAGCGTTGAACTTCCGACAGAACGTCAGTCTGAGCCTCAGGTTGGGTGTGACTGGCAGATTACTGCTAGCAAGCCACAAGTGGTCATTCTAGTCTCCTTTATCTTTGTCGACAATGCTGTTCTACCTACATTACGCGTCGCAGTGCGGCTGCTGCAACGGTTCGAGATTGGGCCCCAAGGAATAACGGACGCGACCGGAGAGCGCCCCCTATCCGCTCGCAACCGACAGGACAACGAACCGCTGACTCGGCGATCAGAGGCGTTGGACTTGTAACCGGCAGGTCACGGAGTCGATCCCCGGGTGTTTCACACTTGGAGATTTGGGTATGACCGGCCAGCAACGGCCAGAAATAGCCATTCCAACCGGAGCCCGGAGACAGTAGCAAACAGAAGGGCAACCGACACATATCAGATGCTGGGCTATTATAGTAACCGCTCGTTATGCCATACATGTTTCTGTGTGCCAAGTCTCCATGGTGGTAATAAGCACACACACTACTAATCGTGCGCCAACTGGCCGAACTACGCGAGATTATGACGCACGGCTTCCGAACTAAGGCAGCCATACCCGACGAGGCTGGACCGCAGCATGAAGCCGATAGAATAAGTTAGGGCTGTCGTCACAAGCCGATGTCAAGACGTAACGAAGACTACCCAGCAGCTCCACTTTATTGTCCGCTGTTAACTCTCCGAACAGCCGGTTCAGGTTATTCTATACCCGTTGTGCCTTGTCCACCGGTAGGTCGCAATCGCCCGAACGTCAAAAACTGGGCGTCAAAAAGTACATTTGACCAAACAGGAATGTGGCCAAAGGTGGTGCGTGCAGGAATTTTTGCTCTTGACAGTCTTAAGACTTGCAAAAACTTCAAAGGCTGCTTGGACCCTCCCAGCCCACTGATGGTGACGCACCGAAACAGTCGGGAAAACAAACGTAGCGTCTAAAAACATGCAGAATTTGATACCGCGTCTATCAGCTTACACGTAAAATGGGGTGTAGGGGTGTCAGCGGTGGGTTCACGTGAAGGTCGTAGTGGTCGCTCACTTGCTGGCAGGTGAGACTACGCCTAGCGTCCACTTGCTGGCACTCAACTCTCACCTGTGGCTCCACGTAGCAGGGCTCTGCTCAGCGGCCACACCCCGGGCAACCGTCTCGACCGGCGGGCTAAACCAGGTGAGGGCGGTTACTCCCTGTGCGCGTTGTGCCGCGTGCACAGGTGACTGCGGACTCCGTGGACGGTTGGTCGGATGGAACACCGCGTCGGCGCCGTCGTGACGAGGCTCTGTCTGACACACCGCTGGTCAGCCGGTTGGTGGTGGAACGTCGCATCGGCATCGCCTAGACGAGGCTCCGCCTGCTACGCCGTTGATCAGCCGGTGGGATGGATCTCCGAATTGGCACCGTCGACACGCGCCCATCTGGTGCACCGTAGGAGACCGCAGGCTTGCGGCAATGCCGTAAGCCATTGGCAAATTCGAGTCGTTCTTCCACTGCCAAAAAAACTCGTGGCCCACAGTGGAGTTCGGCCGCGCCGGCACATCAAGCAGCCCCTATTCAGGGGTCAGGGCACTGCTTCCTTCGGGGGGGCCTGGAAAAGCTGGCCCAAAAATTGCTGGGGAACCACGTCGTCTGCTGGCGCACCGTGGTCGCAGACGCAAAACTCACGGTCGAAACAATCAAAGTCGAAACAACAACAACAACCATACTCATTCTCCTCATCCTACCTCTTCTACCTCTACCTCCGTCTATTCTTCTGCCTATTCTTCTCCTTCGTCATCTTCTTCTCCACCTCCTTCCCATCGCCCCACTCGTTTTCCCCAGACTGACAGGGTGAGCCCGCTCACTCTGGCAGCCTGGAATGTTCGTTCCCTTTTAGACAATCGAGGAGCAACCGACCGGAACGGAGGACGGCGCTAGTGGCGCGAGAACTGGCGCGCTACAAGGTGGACATCGCCGCACTCAGCGAGACCCGATTCTCCGAACAAGGCCAAATGGAGGAGGTGGGTGCCGGTTACACCTTCTTCTGGAGTGGCCGACCCAGGGCAGAGCGACGAGACGCGGGCGTCGCCTTCGCCATCCGGACCGACATCGTGGGACGACTGCCCTGTTTGCCACAGGGCATCAACGATCGCCTGATGAGCCTCCGCCTGCCTCACTGGGGAGGCAAATTCGCCACCATCATCAGCGCCTACGCTCCGACGATGACCAACCCCGACGCCGTCAGAGACAAATTCTACGAGGATCTGCACGCCCTCTTGGCGACTGTGTCGAAGGCGGACAAGTTGATTGTCCTTGGTGACTTCAACGCCCGCGTCGGCACAGACCATACTGCCTGGAGGGGAGTGCTGGGTCCCCACGGTCTCCGCGGCTCAAACGACAACGACCTGCTTCTCCTCCGCACCTGCGCAGAACACCGCCTCATGCTGACGAACACGTTCTTCTGTCTGCCGGAGCGAGAGAAGGCCACCTGGAGGCATCCTCGGTCGCGTCAGTGGCACCTGCTGGACTATGTCCTCGTCCGGAGGCGAGATCAGCGGGACGTGCTGGTGACGAAGGCGATCGTGGGTGCTGACGGGTGGACCGACCATCGCCTCGTCATCTCGAAGATGCGTATTCGCCTACAGCCTCGCAGGAGACCAGAAGGTAAGCGACCTCCAGGTAATCTGAATGTTGCCTTGTTGTCTTTGCCCGCTCACCTTCTTCATTTCAACAATGAGCTAGCTCAACGGCTAGACAACCTTCCTATCGCTGCCGCCGCCGCTGCCGAGAACGCCTCCGTGGAGAACCGCTGGTGTCAACTGCGTGACACAGTCCAGTCGACGGCGCTCGCCGTCCTCGGTCGCGCTCCCCGCCAACACCAGGACTGGTTCGACGACAACGACGCTGCCATCAGAAATCTGCTTGCCGAGAAGAACCGCCCACACAAAGCCTACGTAGATCACCCCACTGATACCACCAAAGCTGCCTTCTACCGCAGTCGCCGCCAACTTCAGCAACGAATGCGCGAGATGCAGGACGCCTGGACTGCTCGCAAAGCTGAAGAGATCCAAGGCTACGCTGACCGCAACGAATGGAAGAACTTCTTCTCCGCGATCAAAGCTGTCTACGGTCCGCCGACGAAGGGCACTGCTCCTCTCCTCAGCGCCGACGGCAGCACTCTCCTGACTGAGAAGACGCAAATCCTGCAGCGATGGGCCGAGCACTTCCGAGGCGTCCTCAACCGCCCTTCCGTCATCTCCGAAGCCGCCATCGCCCGCTTGCCGCAAGTGGCGACCAACGCGGACCTCGACCTCCCGCCATCTCTCCAGGAAACGATTAGGGCCGTGCAGCAGCTCTCCAGCGGGAAAGCACCCGGATCGGACGCAATCCCTGCTGAGGTCTACAAGCACGGAGGTCCCCTACTGATGGATCACCTGACTGCGCTCTTCCAGGAGATGTGGCGTCAAGGTGAAGTCCCGCAAGATTTCAAGGACGCAACTATCGTGCACCTATACAAGCGCATAGGGAATCGCCAAGTCTGCGACAACCACCGCGGCATCTCCCTACTGAACATCGCCGGGAAGATCTTCGCTCGCATCCTGCTCAACCGCCTCAACAACCATCTGGAACAGGGCCTTCTGCCGGAAAGCCAATGCGGCTTCCGTCGTCATCGTGGGACCACGGATATGATCTTCGCAGCCCGCCAACTTCAGGAGAAGTGTCAGGAGATGCGGACCCACCTGTACTCTACCTTCGTGGACCTGACCAAAGCCTTCGACACGGTGAATCGTGAAGGACTGTGGAAGATTATGCAGAAATTTGGCTGTCCGGCGCAATTCACTCAGATGGTGCGTCAGCTGCACGACGGTATGATGGCGCGAGTCACGGACAACGGAGCTCTCTCAGAGGCATTCGCAGTGATCAACGGAGTGAAGCAGGGCTGTGTGCTGGCGCCTACCCTCTTCAGTCTCATGTTCTCTGCCATGCTGATGGACGCCTACCGCGACGAACGCCCTGGAATCCGCATCGCCTATAGAACGGACGGTCATCTCCTGAATCGCCGGCGCATGAACATCCAATCGCGTGTATCCACAGCCACCGTGCACGAACTTCTCTTCGCCGACGACTGCGCCCTGAACACCACCTCGAAAGAGGAGATGCAACGGAGCATGGACCTATTCTCCGCCGCCTGCGAGAACTTTGGGCTGGTTATCAACACGCAGAAGACGGTGGTGATGCATCAGCCGCCTCCCAGCTCAGCCACAGCCCCCAACGCGCCGCAAATCAACGTGAATGGGACTCAACTGCAAGTGGTAGAGAACTTCCCGTACCTGGGCAGCACGCTCTCCCGCAACACCAAGATCGACGACGAAGTCGCCAACAGGATCTCGAAAGCCAGTCAAGCCTTCGGTCGCCTCCGAAGCACGGTTTAGAATCGTCATGGTCTCCAACTGAGCACAAAGCTGAAGATGTACAATGCCGTCATCCTGCCGACGCTACTGTACGGAGCGGAGACCTGGACGGTGTACACGAGGCAGGCACGTCGACTAAACCACTTCCACCTCAGCTGTCTCCGCCGCATCCTGAGGCTGAACTGGCAGGACCGCATCCCCGACACCAAAGTGCTGGAACGGACGGGAATTCTGAGCATCTACTCCATGTTGAGACAAATGCAGCTGCGCTGGAGCGGCCACCTGGTGCGCATGGACGACGAGCGACTACCCAAACGACTCTTCTACGGAGACGTCGCGACGGGTTCCCGTCGTCAAGGAGGCCAAATTCGCCGTTACAAAGATACTCTGAAGTCCTCCCTGAAGCGCCTGCACATCAACCCGACCAACTGGGAAGAGCTCGCCCGCGATCGTCCGACATGGAGGAGAACAGTGAAGACGGGCGCTGCTA